TAAAATTAGATTCTATGATTATAAAAAATATCATAAATATGAAAGTAATTGCATTAGTTTAAAAAAATAAGTTTTCAAAATGGGATATAATTAAAAAATGTAAGAGAGTAAATTTTTATTTATTTGTTCTAATTTCACTTTATTTTATTTTTTAATAAAATTTAGTTATTATCGTACAACGAATGAAAATGCAGCGGCCAACAATTTGCACCACTAAGCATTTTTGTATGGTAAAGTTAATTCTTATGAAAACTACATCAATAGATATAGAGGATATAACATTGTTATGCATGGTCTGTTGTACTATATTAATAAGCTTTATCGCCTCCGATGTAAGGAAACCAAACATATTAGATGCAAACGATATGAACATGTAACGCCCCGATTCTCAGGTATTGTTTTAAATAAGATTTCTTGGGTTAAGCCCTACTCGACGAGTTGGTTGCCCTACTTGTCAAGTATCAGCGAGGTGGGATCGCGTGTTAAGTGACCTACTCGACGAGTCCAAATTGGGACTCAACGAGTAGGAACTGGTAGATGAAACCCTAAATCCCGAGGTTTTGCACCTTATTTAAAGGAACATTAGCCTCCCTTGGGCCTCTTTACAGTTCTAGAGAGTCCTTGAGAACCCTAATATGTGTATGTGTGTGTGCCCATTATGTGTTTGAAGCTTGAAAAGAGGGCCTTGTGGAACAAGTAGAGTGTGGGAATCAACACTCATCTCAGTTATCATCTTCTAGAGGTACCCAAATCGCCATTTTCCTTGTAGATCTCTTTTATTGGTTGAGTTTTAGGGTTTTTATGGAATATTAAGTTAACAAGATGAGCTATAGGCTAGATCTAAAGTTGTAACTTCAGATATGGACCCTCCTTGGGTTCTAGAAGCATAAAGTTGCAGTTTTGGTCATGTTTGAGGTCCCTCTTGAGCATGAAGCTCCATTAAGAACTTAAAATAGGCATTTACAGCCTTTATAGCCATGCATGCACGTAAAGTTTGCAAATTTACGTGATAAGCATGCCCTAGAAGCTTGGATCTGTGATTTGGAGCTGCTGCATGGCTCGAAACGAGTCTGTATGGAAAAAGGACTGAATGGGCTCAGCGAGTCGCAATGTTGACTCGGCGAGTTACATGAAGATGGCCGTGAACTCGACGAGTTGGATGAACAACTCGGCGAGTCCGATGAAGATTGCCATAAACTCGACGAGTTGAAGAACAACTCGGCGAGTCGGATGAGTTTTCTCCAGGATATGTATGCGTGTGTATCCGTCGAGTTGCAAAGAGGAAAATCAACGGGTGGCCTTAAAGTTTGATCGAGAATCGAAGTTACTCAACGAGCCACCCTGATGACTCGGTGAGTTGGAAAGTGCTTCAAGGATCTCGGCGAGTTAAGGTCAACATGGACTGTTGACCTTGATTGAGGACTTTGACTTTGACCAGGGGTTGACTAGTGGGTTATAGAGTACCTTATAAGGTTAAGGACTTATGAGAATGTTGTACTATGATAATAGGTGGTGGATCCTATGTCAAGTGATCGGAGAGTTGGAGTTTACCTTTCGAGTCGACATCTGAGAGGTGAGTTACCCTCACTATATCGATAAGGTCTACGGCACCAAGACCGACCCTTTTAGTTGTTATTGTTATGGTATGCTATGTGTGGTATGATCTGTTAGATCGGAATCAGGGTAGACAGTATGTTATGCTCTTATGATCCGTAGGGATTGGTATGTTAGTGACCTGCTAGGTCGGTGCTCTAGTTACGGGAAAATTTTATGATTGATGATCAGTGAGATAAATGTGTTTGATGTTTGTATATGCCAGTATATGATAGTTATGCGCACGTGGTTATTTGCTTGTTGGTTGGGTTGAGGCGGTTCTGCTTTGTGTTGAAGGCCAACATACCCTATGTGCGGTCTAGGGAGACTGTAGGCCCACGTGGCGGACCAGTCATGACGAAGGCTCGGGATAGATCCAGATAGACTGTAGGCCCTGTAGGGCGGTCCAGTCAGACCGAAGGCCCAATATGCATGTTGTTGATTATCTGTTATTGGTATTTTAGGGGTAGCTCACTAAGCCCTCGGACTTACAGTTTTCAGTTTATTATTTCAGGCACTTCAGGAGATCATGGCAAGGCGAAGGTGTGACCGTACCGCTCCTCATCCTTATGTTATGATTTTGGGACACTCTGATGGATATTGATTTGAAAACATTTTTGTAAACAAACGTTGTTTGATTTTATTTATGATTGAAAAAATTTAAATTTGGCGTAAAATTTATGGATGTTACAGAACATGTGTTGATTTTACATGCATGATTTCTCATGTTTGGTAATCTTGCATATAACAATTTTTGATGCAGCATGTCCTGCCATGGAACCCTCGACCCTCAGGCCCACTAAAAGGGATATCCATGTAAGGTCCACACATGCGTGTTTCTTTCCAACTCATCCTAAAATCAAAAAGTAAGACGGTCTAAGGGGCTGACCTTCCTTCTATCTGGTTAGTAGAAAAAAATTCACAAGTGTCTCTTTCTTGGCGGAAACCCCGGTACACTTGAATATGTCGACCAAAACATCTATAACCACATCGTGTCTGTATTTGAACCCCGAAAGTTCTTTGTAATGAGTTTCATGCTCTCCAAAAGAGTTTGAACATGCCTTGCGGCACACCGGACATATCTCGTCAACTGATAATACTGAAATCATGAGTCGATATTTGAAAATAGTACGATACTCCACAGAAGATATATGTTGGCCAAATGCCTAAGGTCCTGTTTGATTTCAATCTGACTGAGTTCGGTCAGAGTTTTTTCTCTGATTCGGCCAGCAGAGTTTGTTTGATTTGCATATTTAAAGGTCTGACCTGGTCATTTTGCTTCTTACCGAGTCAGTGAAAAAAATTAGCTGATTGAGAACCTTCACATTTTTACCCTTTGTGCCAATCTCCTCCAGCCTTGAACAATAGACGTTACAGCCAAATCGTCATCATCTCAGCGACGACAATGACATCGCCGCCATCATCTAGCCCCATCGTCGTCGCTTCAGTCATCCATCTTCGTCGCCATCGCCTTCCTCCATCGACTACCTCTTCTCATCAGATATGGGTTCTGATTTGATTTATGTTCCTTTTTTATTCCTATTTTTCTTGTTCGTTTTTTATTTCCGTTCCTTTTGTATTTCTGATTTTTCAGATTTCTCTTATTTATGCATACCAGTTGACAGAATAGGTTCCAATTTCTGATTTTATCTGTTGAACATGTATATGGGTTCCAATTTTTGTTCCTCGTTGATGTTTGTTGTCCTGTTCATGTTGATTTTTCTGTCCTATTCTGAATTTTGATGATATGTTGATGTTTCTCATTAATTGTTCTTTGTTTTTGCTGGTTTTGTTGTTGATTTTGCTGTTGATTTTTGTTGATATATTGATTGTGGCCATGATTTTGTGTTTGATTTTTCTTTGTGAACTAGTAGCAATTTGGTTGTTTTTTAGAAATACATATATATCACTTAAATACATACATATCTATTCAATTGAACAAATACATATCTGTTGCATTTATATTCTTATTAATCCTGATCTTGATAAATGTTATGGTAAAGTTAAGAATATTGTTTTACTGTTGGTTTTTAGTTTATTCTTTTGTTTTAGATTGTAGTTGATCTTATTATTCTACCAAAAATAAAATCATAAAACCATTTGTTTTGAGCATCAAAGATATGACTTGCTTTAATGGTAAGCTTATGGAGGAAGGAGAATGAGCAAGAAAGATGAGTTCCCAAACACATTTTCTTGAGAACAATATCATCGGTCGATCAATGCCGGGAAGTTATCAAGACTCATGTTATGTAAATGGAGTTGGAATTCGAAATTGAAGAATTTAAGGTTTTGATGATCCAAATGTCTAGAATTTAATCGGTGTTAATTTGATATAAGTGACAATTAATGGTTTTGTAATCACTAAAGTGCTTGTTGATCAACTTAAAAAGTTTTGAGTTACTAATTGGTATATTGTTGATTTGTTTTGTTATATATGACATTTTCATGAGCAGGGGTATTTTGGGTACAAAAATATTATATGTATGTTTGTTCTAAATGTTGAATCAAATTTGTGCTTAAAATGTATGTTTTTATAATTTTCATCAATTTCATCTATCATTAAATAAAGCAACAGGGTAAAATGATCATTTTTTATTAGTCGGCAAATTCAGTCAGATGTACAATCAAACAATATAGTTTCTTACTCAGTCAAAATTTCTTACCAAGACAGATATTTTCCAATCAGCACTTTTTCAGCCAACAACTATCAAACGGAACCTAAGTTTATTTATAAAAATAGCTAGAAGAAAATCTTGAGCACTTTAATAATAAGTAAAATCATATATAAAAAAAAAGCTATAATAAGTAAAATCATATAACTATGCCTAATAATTACACGATTTTAAAGCTATAATAAGTAAAATCATATAACTATCAGCCTAATAATTACACGATTTTAAACTAAAAATTTTATATTATTATTCATAATATACAAGCTTTTTGAGGAAAAATGGAACCAAAAGTGGGTTCTCTTTTCTGGGCTAGGCCTTGGTTGTAGTCTTCAATTTGAAGGGCCCCACTTACCAATTACCGGTTGCTGTATTGCGCTCTATCTAATTCTAATCTACGCGCCTTTACGGATTCAAAATTCTTCAAACCTCTACAACGCTCCCATATTCATATTGGTTAATACTATATATATATATATATATATATATATATATATATATATATATATATATATATATAACTTTTTCTTATTAGTTATTACAGAATATTTATTTCGATATAACAAATAACCGAAACATATTGCTATATAATAAGATATAAATTAAAGGTTAGCTATTTGTGGGCTCCTAATAATTACAATACATTTGTGGATAAGGATTTTAATCGATACATATTATTAAATTGGTCATTATTAAAGAGCAACTTATATTATATATAAAAACAAATATTTATTAGTTCCATTTTTGAAATAAAATGTGTATATAATGTAACGGCTGTTCTTTTGAGATTACTTGTCTTCTCTCACTCTATTACCAGCCATGTCTGTAAGTCTCTCTCTCTCTCTCTCTCTCTCACACACACACACACACACATATACACACACAAACAACACATGACGTGATACGTATGCAAAATTATATGTATATATTGGCATAGAAAATGATATAATTTGTCAATGTTTGGGTGGTGATGTGGTGGTTGCCGGTGGTTGCAGGCGGTGGAGGTGAGAGTTCCAAACTTGGATTGTCAGGGATGTGCTTCCAAGCTTAAGAAAGCTCTTTTCAAGCTGAAAGGTAAATAGCTTTTTCAGTTTGCGTAATTTTCTTTTTCTTGTCAAAATATTTAATTTAATGGTATATTATTTGATTGATACATGGTAAAATGTGATATCATATTGTATTAAAATTAAAGTAAATAATTTAGTATTTAAAAAAGCTTGAAGTTAGTGTTGAATTTGTTGAAACATTAAACAATATATATTTTATAGTTCATACCAATAATTTTTATGAATAAAAGCTTGGGGTTTTAAGCAAATACTCAATAAGTTGTGATGTTCAAAAACTAATTACATTCTTTTTAAACTAAGATTTGGGTTTATAAACTTAAAGGTGTGGCTTATTTTTTTTTTTGTGATTATATATCTTAATGTAAGTTATGTTATATTTAAATAGAAAAACAGATAGTTGTATTTTCGAAAATTTAGTCTATCAAACATAAAAATATTAAGAATAATAACATGAAAAATAGCGCTTTAATGTTGATAGATTTTCTAGGTGATTTATTATTGGAAGTTGTAAGGTTGTACTGAAACTGGTCCAAGTCCAACATCTGGTTTCCAAGTTTCTTGCATAATTGAATTTGACCAACAAAATAGCATTGACCAATTTACTATACTTGATAAGAAATGACAACTATACCCATAATTAAAAAATATGTCAAAACTCAAAAGGGCTGTTGTACTAGTGTTCTTTGATATTAAAATAATTTTTGGTATAAAAAGGATATAATTTTCTTTATAAAGATATTGATTAAATTAACAATCAAAAAAGAGATAATTAACAAAGATTATTATATTTATTTTATTTTTGCAAAATAACCAAATACATTACAATATGCAACATAAACAACACATATTAATCGTTTTAGAAGAACATATAACAACATAAATAAATAAATAAATATTTTCATATACATATAACCAAATACATTACAATATACAACATAAACACCAAAAACAAAATGCAATACATTGTGCTTTGTGAAACATACTCTAAACCTAAAACCTAAATTGTAACTAAATACAATATCATATGTACGAGAGTATGAGCACTTGGTCTATATAAATTTGGTTACTTGAGACCAAAATGCTAGGAACCTTCTACATTTCGTAAGAGTTGCTTAGATTGCTTAATATGCAACTTTGGTATGTGTCATTGGCACCCTAAACCAAGTGTAAATATACGACAACTTTTTGATATAGTCACTTGGTATTTTTGTATTTGGTTACATACCATTAATCAACGACTTTTTTAGATTCTTTATTTGAGTATTCATAGTCTGTTTTACCACAAAAAAAAATGAAAAAAGGAAAATGAAAATACATGTTAATGTCGAGTACCATACTTAGAAAAAATACATGTTACGTAATATTATGCATAAATACAAATATATCATTAAATTTGTCGGTTGTCATTATATCAAACCCAAAAAAGTTGTGGTATATTCATCCTAAAACCCATTTTTCTTTATGCCATTATAAATTATGTTTTTTCTATAGGTATATAGTATATTTTTCATATTTGTGAAATACATACTGAATCCATAAGACTTAATAAATTAAATGTGATTTTCTGATGAACATAATTCACCGATTTCAACAATTAGTTATCCGTAATCTATCGATATAAAAATCATTAAAATACATAATTCGGCCATGGTTTTATTTATCCATATCAAAGAGAAACAGAACTCATAATTATGAATCAAATTAATATTTTAATCAAGTTTTGTAATATCATATTTAAAAAACATTGTTTTTTTTTCCTGTTAGTCATTTCAGAATTTTCATAAGTGTAACCTCTATGGTTACATATTAAATATATTAGAAAAATATCAAAACATAGATTTAAATTTGATTTATTTTATAGGAGTTGAAGAAGTAGAAATTGACATGGAGATGCAAAAGGTCATGGTGAGAGGTTATGCTTTAGAAGAGAAGAAAGTCCTCAAAGCAATAAAACGGACGGGTAAAGCGGCTGAACTATGGCCATACCCGGGTCACTCCCATTTCGCTTCATTTTACAAGTACCCGACCCACATTGCCAACCAATACTATTACGACACGTCATCAAAAAACAACTATGCACGACATAATCTACACGCCTTCTTCAACACTCCGTCGGCTTACTCAGCCGCCATTGCCTCAGATGAAGTCGTCGCCTCCCTCTTCAGTGATGATAACCCTCATGCATGTATGATCATGTGAATGTGATTCTATTATATGGAAAAAAAAACTCATCTGTTTATTTATATTAATATTTTTACAAATTTATAAGTTTAAATTAAATGTATTTTTTATGTGCTAAATGCATTATACTAATTGTGTGATTTGATGAAAATGTTTATCTAATTATTGATGGGGAACGAAAATTGGTGAGGACGGAGGTAGATTGCGAAGTGGGGATACATTGTTTACCTATCTAGTCATTATTTTTTATTTTTTATTTTTTGTCAATTAAGTCATTTTCCCCGATTTTAAACGGTTTCCTGGTTAACTTTGTCTAGGTGTAAACAACTTTGATTTAATATTTAGTTTATGTAGTAAGTGGATTACACATAGGATTTGCTACGTCAATTAATAATATAAGACTCGATACTTAAACTCACTTGCTTCACCCGTCGGCGTGTGTTCTTCATTTATCACCAAAACACAAAACTGAGCTAGGGTTTTTCAAGGATATTTGTTGTTGAGCTGAAGAATCAAAGCATTTAGTGGAATGACACAACTGGACCCTAATGGACTGTTTGTGATAGTGGAACTCAACTATCAGAGAGTATTTACTCGAAATCCTTTCATCTTTGAACTATGCATGGTAACTCATATTTGTGTTTTAACGACTGTTTGTTTTCATGTTGCTTTAAACCCATATTTCAAAATCCAAATCTTCCAGAACATTGGTGGTATAAATTGATGTGGGGAAGACGGGAACAAATCCATATATTTCAAGAACAAATGATCCCAGATTTGAAATGTTGTTTCCAAAAATCTTGTTTGAGTTATTAGTTCTTTGAATGTATGTGTATGTGTTTTTCAAGAACAGATCCAAATCTTATTTGAAATATTATTGTTTGAGTTATGAATTTAGTTCTAAATCTGAAATCCTTTCCTTGTTCGAGTTTGTTTTTGAAATCTTGATTTTGTTTTGAAATCTTCTTTGAGTTCTGAAGTGTTGCTTGAATGTGTGTGAGTTCTCACATAAACCTTCTTAAAACTCTTGATGAAATTCGTGTGTTTTGGTTTAAAACGTAATGGGTCGGTGTTGGATTTGCTCAAATTGTTTTTATTCAGTCGGTGGGGGGAAGAAGAAGAAGGTTTGGGGAGATTGTTAGTGGGTTTGCATAGCGTTGAGGAAAGAGGAAAAAGTAATCAGTTAAGGGTTGGAAACCTGATAAAAGGGCTTAAGCACAAAACTTATAACGAATATCCGGTATTAGTAGACACAAATGTTCACCATAGGAAAAACCGAATATTTTTGGAAAATTTAAAGGTTTTTATAACATTAGCCCTTAAGCTTTCTCCAAATAATGGATGTTTGGTATTGCTTATTAACTTATTGTAACGACAAAAAATTTCAACAAAATTTAAACTTTTCAAAAACATCCCAATTCATTAAGTTATTACAAAAAGGTTTTCAATACATTTATTATCAGAGTATTCCCAGGTCCATATCATAAAACATAAACACGAGGAGTGGTACGATCACGCCTTTGCCTTGCCACAGTCTCCTGAAGAACCTGAAAAACATTAAACCACAACTGTAAGCCCGAAAGTTTAGTGAGATACCCCCAAAATACCAACCACATAAACCATACACGTAACATGCCATATCATATTGAATCACAGAACAACCATGCATATCGGGTCTACTGTAGGACTGGTCCGCCGTGTCGGGCCTTCAGTCCACTTGGTCCACCCTCCGAGTCCAGTCATGTCCCTCGAGTCTGCAGTGTGGTTGGTCCGCCCGCACCGGGCCTTCAACCCACCCGGTCCACTCTCTGAGTCTACAGTATGACTGGTCTGCCCGCATCGGGCCTTCAGTCGGCCTGATCCACTCTCCGAGCCTCGGCACGTCTGGTCCGCCCTCGTGGGGCCTACAGCCTATCCGGACTGCTCGCTGGGTCTTCGTAACAACCGGTCTGCCCTGGGTATCTTGGCCTACAGCACGAAGCAGGACCCGCCTCAACCCAACTCCAGTCCAAACAACCATGTGCACATAAACATACAATCACATAACAATTCATATTCAATCAAACCGATCTAGCAGATCATGTAACAAAATATACTCTAAGCAGGATACCGACCTAACCGGTCACTAGCATAGCATCATCCTATATACCAGGATACCGACCTTAACCAGGTCTCTAATGAATACCATCCTAACTACCAGGATGCAAACATATCAAAGCAATAACATAACAACAGATACCCGGATCTCAATCCGATAAAGGGCCGGCCTTGGTGCCTTAGACCATGTTGATATAGTGAGGATAACTCACCTCGAAACTGCTGGTTGAACGGATAACTCAAGCTGCTCCGACTACTGGTAGGATCTCCACCACTCGCCAACCACTAATACACTGAACTAAAAACAATATTCAATAATTACCAAAATGCCCCTGGAAATCAACTGGTCAACCCTTGGTCAAAGTCAAAGTCAAAGTCTACCCCTGACTGACTCTACTCGTCGAGTCAACCCGATGACTCGTCGAGTCCCCATACGCAGAACCTCCTTCAATTCGCGACCCAACTCGCCGAGTCATCCCTTGACTCACCGAGTCACAGCCCTTCCAAAAGAAACTTGGACCCTACGACCAGACTCGCCGAGTCCAAGAACAGACTCGCCGAATCTACGACTATCTTCAACCTACTCGCCGAGTTGTTCTTACAACTCGCCGAGTTCCAGGCCATCTTCATCCAACTCGCCGAGTGGGTTCTTCCAACTCGCCGAGTCCACCCATGTGACTCGCCGAGTACCACGGGGGTCTGAATCCGTACAGAGGCTTTCCAAGCCATGCAGATGATCCAAACCATAGATCTACCCCTCCTAAGGCCATCCATCACGTAAAGTGGTAATCTTTACGTGAATCCAAGGAGATCTAGGCATTTTCACTCTAGGGTTTGGGTTTTGGGACAAGATAGCTCCATCAATCACTCAAAAACAGGGACCTTTATGCATTCTAACCCTCCTCCATTCCAGATCTGAGGTAGCAACCTCAGATCTAACCTCTAAACTCCAATACATCAAAAGATATGATCTCTAACACCTCCAAAAATGATGAATCTAGATAATAGCAGCTCAAACAATGAAGTAATACCTCAAAAGGATGCTCCAAGAGAAGGTTAATCCGAATCCTTGCAAAGCCCTTTGATCCAAGTCTCTTCTCCTTCAAGATTGCTTCAACAATCACTTCCCCAAGCTCCAAATGCACTCAAATCCTCCACAATCACGTATCTAGGGTTTCTGGACTTCAAGGGAGATCAAAGAGGCTGGGGAGAGGGTATAATGTCCTTTAAATAGGGCTCATCCTCCGGATTTAGGGTTTTCTCCACTCAGCGCCTACTCGCCGAGTCCAGCCTTGGACTCGCCGAGTTGGCCACTTAATATGCGACCTGAGTCGCAACCCTACTCGCCGACTCCACCCATGGACTCGCCGAGTTGCCCTTTCAAAACACTTTTAACCCTTCAATTCTACTCTTGATATTCCGAGATGTTACACTTATAATATTGGTTTGATACAATAAGTTTTCAATAATATTACATAGTTTAAGTTTAATTTTAGTGCTTGGATGGATAAAAAATTACGAGCATTTATTGATTGTTTAACAATGAGTTTTTACTTTTTAATATTGGTTTCTTTTTTACCTTATCTTCAACCAAATACTCCTTATAATCATCGACGGCTTTTTTTGTTTCACAATTTTTTCCTTAACGAAAAGAAGGCAACGTCAACTTGCATCATCAATCGTAAAATACAGATTCCAACTTCATTCTCCTTCCTTTTTTTTTTTCAGGATCCTACTTCCTAATTCTTGATATTTTGTTAAGTTATCGATTCTTGGTTATTGGGTCACTTGCAAAAATTAATAATAGACAAAATTGCAAGAATATCCTTGTGGTATGTCAAAACTAGCAACTTTGGTCCAAAATGGGTTTGACTCGCAAGGATGATCCAATAGTTTCATTTCCTTGCAAGTTTGTCTAATTTGGTTTAAATTTTTTTGTAAAGACGATTTAGCCTTTATTGTTTAATTTTTTATTTTTGTTTTATTACATGTAATTAAAAAACAATTAAAAATATAACAAAAATAAAATACCTCTCTCTCTTTCTCTCTCTCTCTCTCTCTCTCTCTCTCTCTCCAAGAATCGACCTATTCATCTTCTTCATACACTTCCATTTTCTCTCGGATGTGATCAATCTTTATTCACCGGAAAATTGCACATCCACCGGAGACACGTCTCTTACCCTCAAATCTGACATCTCCGTCTTCTTAGTTGACTACCAAGCACTCATTACCCCCAAATTTGTCATCTCTATCGAAGCTTTCCTAAATGATCAAGGTGAAATCCATATTTGTTCATCCGACGAAAATGATGGCGCTGTCCACTACTAAAGACATCCATCCGCCTTCTCCGACGAAGGGTTTTCTGATTGCGCCATATTTGTTCGATCTACGTTTATGAAGGGTTGTAGCTCCAATATCCGATCTACGTTTCTGTCTCTTTTCATCTGCTCTTGTGTCTCTTTAAATCCCTCTACTAACTTCAGGTGGTGGTGATTATGCTTCAGGCGGCGGTTTCTAGATCCATAGCTCTCCTTATCGATTTCATTGATTGTTCATCTCTCTCCCAAGCTTTCTCATTCTCAGAGGGTCGGAAATCCCCAACTTTATTCGTCCAGTGGCTATCTTGAGTGAATGTGCCCGCAGAAAACAACTGAAATCGTGATCTAGGGTTGAGATTTGTTATTGCTATGTTTGTTATATTTCTTTCCTTCTTCTTTTTCTATCTAGATTGTTGTTGTTGGGTTTGTTTGAAAATTTTCTTGATTTCGATTCAGGTGGTGGTAAAGGGCAGTTCATCAGATCAAGAAAAATGATTTATGGGTTTGTGAATGTGATGTTCTTGTTCTTGAACTCAGAAAAAATGAGTGTTCTTGAGATCCATATTCATATTTGTGTGTGTATGTTTTTAGTTCTAATCGACTTCATAGCTAATGATATTGAGCTTTGTTTCCGTTGTTTAAATCAAATTAATCTTGATGTATGTGTAACTATGTATGTGTGTGTTTAGAGTCTGGAACATTTGTAAACTTAATCTAATAAATTGAACAAAATCGATAAAGTGAAGGTTCTTCGTTTTGCAAATCCACTTCCAGACATGTGTTAAATTTGTTTGTGTTTTATTTCAGATCCAAAATCAAGAACGAAGAACACCCATTGTGGATTTGGATTTGGTATGTTGGATGGTGGTGGGTCACGACAGGGGGAGG